CTAGGGCCCACCCAGCCTCCTATCCAATGGGTACTGGGGTCCTTTCCCAGGGGGTAAAGTGTGGCTGGGGTACGATGCTAACCACTCACCTCCCATCTAGTGCCGAGGTGAAGAATTAGTAGGAACAAAACCTCCTCTCCCCACGTGGCATATATTGGGACAGCTGTACTTTTAATTTATGGAATTGTCTAATTACTGTAGTAAGATGTTTGTCAAAGAAAGTTGTTTTATCAGCGACTACAAATTGTTAATGTCAGTGCTAATCGATTATGTATAATTCTATTGTAATATGTGGGAAAAGTAATAATTTTGCTAAAAAGTAGTCGAGGATTAAAATCAAGTGGCAAAAGTACGCAAGTTCAATTATCACAAAATTTTTCCAATCACCTACACTATTTCGGATTCTGGTTTCGTTTATAAAAATTATAGAATTTGTTCCTTCAACTGTTTTGTTCTGCCTGGCATTATAAAATGATTAATATGTATTCCATAATATAATTATGTAATAATTACAAGCATGTAGTTTATATATAATAAATGATGGTGGTGTAATGATGATTGAAAGCATGAAACAGAAGAAGCAATACTATTCCTTCTGAATCTTAACTTGTGCGAGACTAATATTATTAATATTTGAAATTACTAGATTGGTACAGATTTATATGTTCAATTTAAAAATAACTTAGGTTATGAAAGGTACACATTAGACTTAACGAAACAATCGTGTCTAATCATTCTTAGGTTTTAGAGCTAATTCAAGATCGCAGTAACATCTGTTGCAATCTGCACATGCCAGCTCAGAGCGGAAACAGTGCTGTATTGGAACGGATGAGACGAGGATACAGCAGGGAAGCCTACCTTGATCTTATTCATCACGTGAGGCACCAGATTCCAGGTGTCAGCCTTTCAAGTGATTTTATCTGTGGATTCTGTGGAGAAACTGAAGAAGAATTTGAAGATACACTCACTCTTATGGCAGAAGTCAAGTACAATATGGCATTTCTCTTTGCTTACAGTTTGCGAGAGGTGGGTAGTTCCAGTGGTTGTCGTGTTTACATAGTTATATACATTCTATGGATCCAAAAGTTAGTTTGTAATATAATCTGAATACAATTGTGGGAAGTACATCATATTGCCAGTTAAATGTATTTCAGAAATTATATGACGTATGTAATCAATTCTCTGACTTGATCATTCATTGTAATATTGTAACATGTAAAATAATTATAATAATAAATTGATATAATTACCTAAAAATACAAATAATAGAATATAAAATAAGCAAACAAACAAACTATTAACACTATAAAAAAGACAGTAGTGCCATACGCGTTTCAACCTCAAGAGGTCATCATCAGTGGCAACGGAAATTAATTAATTTAATCAAAATGGTTTAAAAATGGTTTAGAAAACAAATAACGAAGTAGAGTATTTTCCTTGATCCATGGCGTAAATCGAGGTTTACCTGTATATTGCAAATTGTTACTTAATATTGTGTTACAGAAAACTACAGCTCACAGGCGTCTCGTGGATGATGTGCCACCTGAGATTAAGCAACAGCGACTTGTCAGGATGACGTCATTGTTCCGAAGGGAAGCCGAGAAGCTTAATCGAGCCCAGATAGGCCAACAGCAGTTGGTGCTAGTGGAAGGGGTATGTAATTGGTAATTAAAATTAAATCCGTGGCGTAACAGCCCTCTGAGAGCCAAAGCCGACTAGCTTGACTGCTGGCCTCACGTTCACATGCCTAAGCATAGGTGAACGATCATCCAACCAGATGTAGGGTGACGTGTGGTCAGCACGACGAACCCCCAGCCATTGCTAGTTTTCCTGACCGGATTACGCTACTCATTGTAGCTCCCCAATTTCCTCACGATGCTGGGTTGGCACCGGTCCCATACACTGGTCGAAAGCTCATGAGAAAATTTCTTCTCCCCCGAGACTCGAACCAGCACGGTCAGAAGCGTGATGCCTCAGACCGCGCGGCTACAGCGCGGGACGTGGTTTAAATCATATGTTTCTATATAATAAAGGTTAATCACATGGGACAACTTTGTACGAAACATTATATATTGTTTATGGCACAAATTCTTACATGTATTAGAGACATGCAAAGAGAGAGGTAAAAAATGATAGTCTGATTTTCAATATCTATGGTTCGTCTGTACAGATCAGGTAAAAATTGCCATTATTAGGTATGTAACCCATGCTGTGGCTACTTTACCGTCAGGGTCGCAGGTCACTCGGTAGACCCTGGAGCTTATATGGACATCGTAGCAAAGAGATAAATCCTTGTCCCTGCCAAATATTGAATCTCAGGATGTCCATCTCATAGCCAGTTACCTTACAGATGATCTGTCCTGGCTTTTACATAAATCACAGATGTTTTATTGTGAAATATTTTCTGTTCTTCGTGTGTGTCATCTTTCGTAGGTCTTATTTCTTGCCGTGGCACTTTGTTTTCAAATATGTTCAATGTTTGTTCTTCCATCACAGAAATAAATACAGCCTTACAGAACGGTGGACTGAAATAAGAGATATATGTACAATATATTGTTTTCTTATAGCCCAGCAAACGCTCGATGAAAGATGTGGTTGGTCGTAATGATGGCAATACCAAAGTAATATTTCCTGCGGTGGAAATTCCAGATTCAGAATATTCACACACACTTCGATCTATAAATCCAGGAGATTATGTTGTGGTTCAGGTAAGTTCTTCTTATGCTTCCAGTGTGGCCATCTATTGCATACGAAATTTAACTTTGATTCTGTTTACTACCAGGTCAAATGACACATCAGAGTCTTGGGTGTTGTTATTTGTCTGGGTTTCTTACAGAAAGGTCGCTGGAGGGAGGGAGGTCAGTATAATCTACTCTGCTCAGCACTGCCACTCAGAATAATATTTCCTTGTGATAGGTTATTGCATTTCGTGGTCTGTTTAGAAGTTTATCAACATTTCAGAGGTGCTTCCTGCTTCTGTCATCAGATGATTGAGTCATTGCCTTGATGATAGAGACACAAAATTGCTCTAAAATGTTGATAAGCTTCTATCAGACCACGCGCTGCAACAACCCAGAAGACCGCCATCTTCATACTCACTGCTGTGAGAACCTGGAGTCCTATTTAGAATTTTATTTGATCAGTGTAGCGGTGGCGGCAGGTGGTAAAATAAAACTGCCTCGTAACCTTTCAGTCTGTGAATAGTACGCAGTTGACTGATATGTTTTTCTCCAAACAGTGAAATGATTGCCGATCATCCGTACTGAGCAGATGTTTTTCTTTCAGATCAGTTCGGCTAATTCCCAGATCTTGAAAGGAGTACCTCTATATCACACGTTGCTTTCCAACTTTAAGGTACAAGAGAACACACGTGTATGTAGAACAGGTGAGTCTCACATGAAAACCAAAATGCAATAGATCACTAAAGTAATACATTAATATATAAAAATATGTGTCACAAAGTCCTTTAACTTAAAAATGAGACATTGATGTACTATGAAAAATGTTTAAAAAAAGACATTGCTTTGTTTCGTAAGAGGAAATATGTGATATAAAATGAAGTCCTTAGAGATAAAGTGGTATAAGTCAGTTTGTTTTAAAGTTTTATGAAGTGGGGTTATTTATTAATACTGAATAAAAAATATAGGGTAATTTGGTGTGCTTATCAGAATTTTTTGTTTTGTTATTGTAATACAAATATGTTCGCCACGGTGGTCTAGCGGTCAGAACACTAGCCTTGTAAGCCTGGGGTCCCGGGTTCAATTCCCGGTGGTGCTCAAATTTATAACTTGTGTTGGGCAAGGCCGTGGTCTAGGCATCACGGAGTTTTCCTCCGGGGGCTTCCCCGGTTTCTCCGTGGCATCCCAACAATTACTCCACTCACACACAGAAGAAGGCAATGGCAAACCACTTCTGATCATCTCTGCCAAGAATGTATATATGTATGAGCAGGTCCCTGACAACCTGAAGAGGTTGGAAGGATCCTGTTCATAATATATGGACCTGTCGTCAGACAGAACACTACAAATAAAAAAAAATACAAATATGTTCTCCACAATTTTGCCTTTTCCCAGCTACACTTTGCACATCATTTGGAACTTTAATACATATGTTAAGAAATAAAATACACTCAGACATAAAAAGATTTTCAATTCACTGCTACCTGAAACAACTGTAATGCTAGTTTCGGTGGTGGACAAAGTGTAGCGCTGTAATAGGGTTTGACGGTTATCGTTTGTCAGGTTGAAATTTACCAATGAATGCAAATTAAATATCATAGCAGCCTGTTTATGATCTGATGCATGTGAGAGGTTGGTTGTTTTGCAGATCTGATGCGTGGTCCTCGATGAGACGGGTGAAGGGTCTTGGTACCAGTTTGCATGGAAATAAGGAGACGTCCGTTGAAGTTTGAGTTCCACTAATGGTATGAAACCCTGTATTTTAATGTAAACAAAATACATAAATATATGCAGTATGAACTGCAAAGAGAGGAGTCAGATCTGAATACATAACATTTAAACAAGGCACTTAAAATATGTGTACTTTTTACAAATACGTTATTCTAACTTGAAGTGAACTCTCTTGAATGTTCTCTTTTCATTACATGTGGGACACTATAAATGTTTAGTAATTTATACAATTTATATTACTGTTACACAGACCAGAAGAACACTTCTCAAAATACATGTTGTTAATTACATGTGAAATATATGTTTGATACACAAGGACTTATTCCTCAGTTTTTTAATCAAATCTGTAATCCTTATTATATTGTGTTTGTTCAGTCTCAATTTGCATTCAGCATCACCGCTGTGCCATTTCATAGTCATATTAACGATTCTGTTTCGTTGAGTGCGCTACTCGGACGTTCGATAAACCATAAACGTAGCAACAGTTTAATGTTAGAAATGTTTTGCGTCAGCAGTTCACAATATAGTGGCGCTCGGTTTGTATTTTTTTGGGTGTTCTTTTGTGTCGTTACTCTGCACAGATTACCTGTTTAGTTTCATTAATTTATTTACACTTAATTAACACATACTAAATTATATAAATACATTTTATATATCACACAAGTTAGTTATTATCTTGGGC